AATCTCACCATTTTGGGGGCCAAACAATCTCCTTTTTCCAAAGATACTGTGGAAGGGGGCACTTTTAATGCTAATGAGCTGGTCAAAAATTCTCACTTGAATTAGTGGTCTGCACCCGTAGTGAAGGCGTGATACTAGACAGAAAGAGTCCTAGCCGACCTAGTCTTGGTCAAGGCGTTCGTCATTCGTCGCAGCGCAGCTCAGCGCGCACCAGCCGGTCGCTGACCTTCTGCGTACCAAGCTGCGTACGTATGTACACGTACCTACCTGCATACCTTGCAAAATCAAGGCGAAGAGCGACCTCTAGCGGCTGAAGAAATATGCAAATCAGCTGATTTAGGACACACGTACGCCTTGGTGCAACCAGCCGCGGATGCTGTACTGGGCGGTGTCATTATGCTAATGACAAGAGCCGATGTTTTAAATACGCTTTTGGATTTGTTCATTGCTAGGCCTACATAGTAACTGCATAATTAAGTCGGTCGTAAGGTGAAAGGTGCGTACGGCCGAAGTGATCAAATTCATCTCCCAATTTTACTAATTATTTCATAAAAAAATTACGACCAAATGTGAAAACCTTCAATGCGTTCGTACCTCGGTTCACGCTGAAAAGCCTAGATTAGTCACCTTTATATAGGGACTTCCCCTGAGCTGAGAAAATTTCCACCAGAGTCAAGTCCCATCGGGATTGTATGTAAATATCTCAGCCACGTGCTGTTAGGGCACAGACGGTGCCTGGGCAAGTCTTCGTATCGGAAGGTCTTTCAATGTTCAGTCTCTTTGATCTTTTTTAGACAGCGGTCCGAGTGGGTCCATTGCGTGTGTGAGGGGGGTGTCGATTGATTACTGACTGTGGCTTGGCCTTCGAGGGGACCCCCCCCCCTTGACTGGGAAAAGGGTATCCTGACCCTACTGTGACCTTTTTCTGTTTTTTTTTTTTTTATTTGCAGGGACTAGGGGACACCCACTGATCAATTTAAATGCCATTAGAAGGGAATGGGGGTTTACAATACAAGAACAATGGGGTATCAGTGATTGATCACGTCAGGCCCACGACCCTAATAAGAAATGACCTTGCGGCCCACGTGGCTATACGTGTACATGACAAGTCAACAATATTTATTTTGCCAGCTGATCAGGGTAATCGGAGATCGATGTCGCCTTTGCTTTACTGATTGTGATTGATTTTTTCGAATGACTAATGCTATGGGTTTGTATCCGGTATGAGGAGCTCCGAGTAGATGGTGGCAGCCTGAAAAATAACAGATTTCCCGTGGCCTGTTGGCAAATTCACGAAAACGTCGGGACCCTGCAGAAAATAGTCCAAGGCTTGCCGCTGCTCGGCACGAAAATCACCCACCATTAATTTATCTGCAGCGGAATTCAAGCAACAAGGCAACAGTCACCGTGCTGCAGTCGTCTCGGAAGGCCAGCCATTTTACGTGGTTATCGTGCATGCCAGTTCACGTTGATGCCCGCTGCGCTGTGCTGAATGACGAACAAGTGACCAATGCTATAAGGGGATTTCACATCAGCGCCGTCTGCTCTCCGTGTTGAACTTCGTCGCGCGCGCCTGCGGAGTCTACACAGTACATGTAGTATCCGGTTCGTTAGTGTGACGCCACTTCAGTTTAAACCACGCCCACTGCACAAGATACACGACCATCGCTGGGACGTTACTTCGCGATAAATTGTCGTCATGTTTTTCTTTTGATGTCACGTGTCGAGTCATCCTGAAAGACTCTTCCACAAAAATTTGCAGCCTGAAAAGTTTGAAATTAACATACCTTTATGTATTTTGTAGTCATTGATTTCGCTCTCAGTCAGTGCCTTTATGCTCTTAGCATGTGCGTTCCGAAATAGCCGGCGTTGGGTCAGCACCTCCTTGTCGTCATCTCCTCTTTACCGCTGGACCGTGGCCAAGGCTGACACCGCAGAGGGACCGTGGACCCTGGAGTGTCGTGGCTCCACGCGGAAGCCGAATCTCGGGGATCGACACTGACCTCCCTGTCCGTATGAACTGGGCTGTTCTGGAGCGGAGTGTGGAGGTGCTTGGCTCGACGACCGCGCTCTTTCAGGCACGGCACTGACTGGGCGGGGCCTAATTTTCTTCCTTTCTTGTGTTGGCTCCTTAAGGTAATTACACTCGGCCGAATATAATTTGCGTATTAATATGTTTTTTGCCGGCTTGCTAATTTTCATTGTAATTAATTGTGTTTGGCTGTGCAAATGTAAATAATTTGCTTTTATGCTTTTGCCTGTTCAAATTCACGGTGTTCTTGCATGAGTTTAAGTTGCAGCAAACCACTAGATTTACTTTGTTTTAATTTACTGCTTTGGTGACTCAAGTGTATAATTAAATGTTATTCCAAAATTAGTTCCTTTATTGTTCTTTGCTCGTATTTTTAGTGTCCTGGTTCCCGTCTTTTGATTTTTCTTCTGCCGTGCGTTCTCCGCACGTAATACTTCTACATGTCGATTTCTTCTGAGTAAAATCAAGATTATTTTGGGAGGCCATAGCGGAACGAATCTATTATTTGGATGCCAACCCCTTGAACAAGCGAGGTACTGTTTAGGAGGTAGCCTTTTGTTTCTCCTGACAAAAGGAGGATTTACTCATGACAAAGAGTTTAAGATCGAGACTGACTTGGCATCGTAACGCATGGGTAAATGTGCGTCGCAGTGGGGGAGGGCAAGAGGGCGCCTTCCTCCTTTTAAAAATTGTCCAAAAAATGGGAAAGATGTGTCAAAAATGAGTTAAAGGGAACAAAAAGCAGCGTATGTGACTAAAGAAATTTCAAGTATTTTTAGTTTTCCTACGTTTCCCTGCTTCGTTCTTGTCCCTACCCCCCCTTTACCCGTTTTCCTCAAGAGTTAAAAGTGGAAGGAGCAACTCTATCCCCATGACGTTCATGATTGGTTCGTAGTTTAGTGCTATGAACCCTCCTGGAAATCCCCCCGGGTTTTTTTTCCTCTTAGATAAAAGGCAGTGGTGTATACAGTGTCCAAGCCGGGAAGCGAAATGGGAATAGATTCAACCCCCAACCATTTTATAACGATGTTTAAAGCCATTCTTTTTCCTTGAAATTTGTTAAAGGAATTCATGCGAACATTACTTCACTCTTAACCCTAAAAAGCCAGAAGTAAAGGTGACCTCTTACAGCAAGGGGGCAGATTCTGCACCTCCCTCCAGCCGAACTCGCCCTCTAGTGTCGGGCCACTCATTAACTATGAGTTCAGTTCGGAAATCCCGACTAGTGACGAATCTGCCAACCGTTTGTACACAGCGAATGGGGCTCATCTACCAAAGCAGCAGCAGCAGCTAATCGCATTGCCGGACTTGATTTTACGTCGTTCATACCTGCATTATAATGAACGAATCTGAGTACGGGTCTGACTACTTTGATTGGTGGAAATTCCTTATACATTATGCAAGCCAAGTCGTTCATATGCAATTGTGAATAACTACATATTGTAAAATTTAACCTAGCTGCGTCACACAATTTGAACGCTTCCATACAGACTCCCGTATTGAAATTACTTCCGCAGTTACATCAGATCAGTTGGGTTCGAAATATATAACATGAAAATACAAACGGGAACTAACAATAAGTGAACCTTAATGTTTGGCTGTCAAACAAATCAAGTCACTACTTTAGTTGGCATAATTATAACACCATCTTCGAAGAATCTACATGTAGGCCTACTTATATAACTCCCATAGCAGATTCATTTATAAGTCAAACTTCAACGAGATCTTCATAAATTAGAATTGTGGCATTCAAACGATAATGATCTACTGTGTCTTCCACAAGAAAAATCTCGATCATATAAGAAAGAAAGGATTTAAGAGACCATACAATAATAAGCAAGAAACATCAAATTTCACTTACACTGTTTGTGTCTCTCTGAAAATCACAGGAAATCTCACTTTCTGGTAAACTTTCTCTAGACTGCAATGGCTTATAAGATGCCTTGGTTCAAGTTGATTTGGAACTCTCATAGGCTCAAATCATGTGGATAACTCGACAAATCATAGAAACTGTCTCTTCTTTTGTTTGACTCTTGCAAAAAGTACCCGTGTGGCAAACCTAACGTCCGATCTATGCGTGCTTTTTGGCAGTGCTAGTGCACGTGTGTCTGGGATCCAACTCTAATTATTTAAGCGAAGAATTACTATAGAAACACTGTGTGCTTCAGGGTCACGTACGGGTGAATGGGCTGAGATATTGACAGATTTATGAAGGTCTATAAAGATTAGCCCTGAACTTTACACATATCGCTGACGGGGGGGGGGGGTTCGATTGGCTCATCCGTCAAGTCGGACTTACTGACTGGCGACGTATGACACGCGATGTACAATAAAGGCTATCAAACGAGGGCGCCTTATAAGGGTTATGCGAGCTGCCGGGCCGAGCGCAACGGTGTAGAGCGTACCGGCTGAAGGAATGGCTAGCTAGGGAACTGAAGAGCAAAGTAAGTCCGACTTGATTCAAGTCTAACGGTTTCTCGGCAACTTCAACAATACAACCTTGAGTCAGCAGTTTCTCGATTTCAGAAACCACGAAACCTGGATTATCTCAGGCAGACATAATTTTTTATGTTTTCTGTTTCGGGAAAGGTAAGTAATGGGAGCTTGTAATCGCTCCATTTTGACGACCTGAACGTCACTCAATTCGCTGGGAAAACTGTCAACTTGTTGGCCATAAGCTAAACCAACTTGACCCAAAGAATTGCTCGGTTTTCTTCGTTCTTTGCCTGGACTAATTCAGAGATATCACCCAGCTCCATCTTGACTGCGCGTAGTCTCAAGCTCAATGCCTTTGTCTCCTTTCAACTCACACACGCCTTCTTATGCAAATGCACCACACCCCTTCAAACATTACGTCGATTTTGCATTAAACGCTCAGACAACTTTCGCCTGCTAAACGATCGTAACGCAGGCAAAGAAAATTCAGTGGCATTGGTGCTACACATGAAGCAAAATACGGAACGGTAAGCGCCACCCACCTTTGTGTTAGTCATTGTTTGATCGGAATCTCAGGAATTCTAGAGCGTTTGGTACCAATAAAGGTGCATAGGCCCATGGGGTTTGGACATGTGGGGAGGTACTCCTCCGTTCCACATCTTGCTGGGTATTTGATGTTTGGTCCGCCTAACTCTAGTAACAGTGGGAACGTTCTCCAAAGGCCATATCGAAATAAATAGTCTCGTCGTCACAAACTTTAAATAACCCATAACCGAATGAGCATTGACGCATGACGGTGTAAATACTGCCATTTTTGGCACCGAGTAAGTCTTGTCGGCACGGAAACATTTTTACACCGACAGGTGTTTTTCTGCATTTGGATTTTGGTCCACAGCAACATTGAATCCCCTCGACTTTATATAACAACTTGACATTGCAGTCTAAGGCTCTCTTTTTTAATCCATTTATGTTCGATACATTTTTGCAGAATGAATCACGTCGATTTGTCAGAGAGATTTTTCGAAGATGTCGGCCAAAGGACCTCCTTCTACACTTTTTACCTGAAATTGCAAACCTTCAGCCCACGTAAAAGGGTAAACACTCTGTCGTTTCACCAACAGATCCGGTCGTTCTACAACTCTTGCCATGTTCCTGGACGGCCGGAGCCATGAAGCCCCACGTCACAGGTGAGTTGGCCAAGTTCCACTTTCATCGGGGCTGCCCAAGGTCGTACAGCAATACCCACCTCTGCCCTGGCAAGTATGCATTTATACCCCTGGGTGGAGAGAGACAAGTTGGGGGATGATAAAACAAGGTCGTCGCACATACCCGGAGTCGGATTTGAACCCCAAGCTGACCCCTGTGATCAAGTTGCAAACTGACATATAGCACACGGTATGCATCAAATTCCCAGGGAGTTGCATTAAGCACTACGGGCATTATCAAAACATATCTGAAAGTATTTGTGGAATGGTGCTACATTTATACATTTGTTGTTAGTGGACAGATGTACATCTATTTCTAAGTTGAACCTGATGTCTCCATGTGAACAGTTTCGCTGACATGCTTTCAAAAACTTATGTTGCAATAATGACATCAGGAAAAAAATAGGGCCTCCACTGAAGAAATAGCAAAGCTTCCAAACGGATGTTGTAAAGACGTAACTGTTTCCTTGATTGGACTCCACTTTTGTTTTCCTGAATACATGTATGTGATTGTCTATTTGGGCCACAAAGAGCCCGACTAATATGTGCCTAGTTGGATCAATACGCTGCCAGTTTGCCCTCAAACAAAAATTCATATCGAGATGTCATGAATACGCATATATTCATGGCATTAATGGGTCGATTTCTGTGTTCGTGAAAGTAAAACGCATGAACGCATCGTGTACGCAACTCACCCAAAACGTACATATGGAAAGGTGCCTTATTAGGTGTTGTGATTTACCACATGCACGCGCGCGTCATGCCGAAGAATGTGCGTGTTCACGAGTGCGGTGAAACCGCAGTGATGGTGCTTAATCGGATTAGTCTACAGAATATTTGCAGATTAATCCATACCCTTCGACATATAGTTGCCGGTAGAAATCCACGCGCTTCCTTTTTTAAATTTTGACCTCGCCGCTCGAAGGCGTCAATACGTATTTCGCCCACCTGCGAATTCCTTATCTCCCATGCGTGAGCACACGAGAACTGAAAACCGTACATTCAGTAGGACTAAATACACGTACAAAAAAGGGAGGGAAATCGGTACAAGAAGAAGAGGCGTTGGGTCACGTACTCTGACCTTTCACTACACTACTCCAAACCTCTTGACTTTACAATCGATGTCACTGAACCTCAAACCCAGGCGCATGATGTGTCCCTGGTGGTCGCTGTGGCACGGCGGCCTCCTTGTTTTGAATATATGGGTACAGGTAAGACGTGATTTTTTTTAATCGATTTATTTTCTGGTGTTTTGTGGAATATGTCTTTTATGCCATATCTTATTTGTTGCAAAACATTCACCACTGGGAAATGAGCTGTTTCGAGCGGTTTGTTATCCAGAAGTAAAGATGTTTTTTCTTTTTATTTCAATTGTAGCGGCGCCAGTAGAAATTGCCTAACTGACTTAAATGTCAAACTTAATGTAGATATCTAGTGGATGTTCTAGTGGAGGGCGAACGTGTGGAGCGCCGGGCTGAGGCGGCACTGTGTGGACCTCTTTTATTCTCATGGGCACACATGGGTAATACAGGAAACAAGAAACAATTTTAATACCAGCTTTTAAAAACGTTGTCATCGATAAATACTTGTGGCTGGTTTCCGGCAGGTTTGTTGAACAGGAAGCTATGATGTCGGATGCACCTGTCAGTTTTCCTGCGTATATGATGACAATATTAAGATCGGTGAAGAAAACTCTGGTATTACTCTGCACACGCTCTATACAGGATCAGTCAGATTTGACTAGAATTCAGTCACATTTGACTAGCTCTTCTCGGTCAGCTGGGTGCAACTGGAAATTAGTCAACCTGACAAGCTTTTCTCAGTCGGCTCATTGATATTTCAAAAGGCATCGATTAGGAATCTTTGTCAGAAAGCACGATTTGCCGACGTAGGCAGGGGTGTTTGACTGAATCCGTAGTCAATTTTGAACAACTAGGAAAACCAGTCAACACCCGCTGAAAAAAAAAAAATTGAAGTCGACTCGCATACGTTTGAGTAACTAGGCAGATTTTGAGGTGTCCAGCTGTGAAGAAGTAGTATGTATAAGCCGATGTATATAAATGTTCTGGAACGTCGATGATGCACGACGATTTTTAGTTCCGTTTCTGCTATACATTTATACTGAAGCTAAAGTCATCATAGGACTATTTAAAGTCTGGTCGATAACGTCTTTCGGTTGTCAATGACAACTGTTGCAATGAACTCGATTAGAACCAACAAAAACAACAGTCCATTCCGTCTGCTGTTTGGCCAAAGGTGCGGCGCCAGACTGGGCCATTTTTAACATTCAACGCGGCGCGTCCTCAAGCCCACTCCACTGACCGGTTCGTGTTTATTTGCCTGCTCGGAGTTTGGACAGAGGATTTCACTATTCCCGTGTGTGATACGTATATAGAATTCAGAACCCGTGCGTGGACATGAACAGTACAGATTTCCGTAACATGTCCTAAAACCTGTATACAATTATTTCCAAAGATGTACTTTGCGCTGAGGAGTTAATAAGGTTCAACTACGCTTTTGGACCAAGGGGGTGGGCTATAGAAGCGTTCCCCTTTTTTGTTGTGAGACAACATTAAAGCGGATTGTGACTTTTTCGGACTGCCAATGACCGAAATGTATTCAATATCACTCTAAAAGAAAGAACAATCCAACAAGTCATATAAATGTGCTGTTCTCATGTTAGATTCTGCGTAATATTACAGTTGTACATTTATACTATGAACAGTATCATGTGGTGTCAGCCTCCCTCCATCCCGCTTTTCAAATTTTTACGGCCGGGCAAGTGGGCAAGTCATAAGTCACACCCCCCAACATCTCCCCATCCTGATACCCCAGTTTCCAGCACAACTTTACGCCATAACTGCTGTGACACCGCACTCACACGCACTTTCTTCTCTGCTTATAACGCGCGCGTGCTTGTGGCAAATCACGTCACCAATTGGACAAAGAGGCATGCAACGCGCGCGTACCACCCGTCCACGAGCCTTGCGCCACCGCAGTAAATGGCTTTTTAATCTGGTTGTCGAATTGCATTATATGTATACGAGCTTATTATACACTTTAGGCACGTCAGACAGAGACTGAAACCAAATACTGCGTTCGGTTATTGTAACATGGCTTAATTTTTAAAAGACTTTTCAGCATCAATACTGTACTATAGGCCCGATAGGTCAAAAAGATTAATTGGTTTGAAATATTTCTATTTATTCTGTATCATATCCGCTTAGCTCAGACCTCAGACCTGTGATAATTAATACACACGTGCAACCAACTGAACCTAAGGTTAGCGAACCGGACTGTTCTAGACTAAACTTAATCAAACAAGAAAGGAAACAGGTATTCAAGGCACGGCTTAACCGCAGCCTCTGCTAAGTCTCACGTAGTCGTGATCGGTTTTGCTCAACCTAGGCTTTAGATACTAATTTGAAAAAGGGCTGTAGGCATCTGATGTGTGATCCGTGGCATTTGTCGAACTAATATGTAAACGTGACGAGTAAATGGAGCACAGGAATCAAATTGCTCTGAACTATAACGGATCCTGGCCCTTACACAGCCTTAGCCTTCGTTAAATAAAATTAATGAATTCCTACAAAGGACGAGCTTTTCAATCATACCATCGTGTTTATGTCTGGACTGATAACTCTTGCCTACAGGAAATAAAGCGCGCTCAGTAGAGCCAACTATACTGTTTTTTTTATCAACTTGGTCCAGGTTTAATGGCGTTGATTCATTCATTTATAATGCACCATTGTGAAAACAAAACCTAGTTTTAAATCTGGGATTACAAACTCACTTACATTTTGGCAAGACCTGTTTGTCGCGCGCTTGATGCAGTAAAACAAGGCCGTACAAGGGGCGTAAGAATTAAACGGGCACGTGTGTGTTGTCTGTGTGTACGCCTTATTTGATTCCCCGGACGGGGGCAGGCACGACATCCAAACTTGGTTGCTACGTGACGTTGTCGTAGAGGGGTCTATGGTTTGACGACACAGTGTTTCTACTCCTGAAAAGAACGCCATGACCTGACACGCTGGCACTTGCAGGTGATTGGGTGGTAAGCATATTCGGCTGCACATTGCCCGTTGGACTCGGAGCCTGCTGGTTTGCTTGAATGTTACTTTGCCAAACATGGCCGAAGGACCGTAGGAAGAAATACATTTTGTAGAGAAGTTCTGGGTGAGTTATATAACATGTAATATTTTTCAGAACTTTGATATGAACCATTTCCGGACTCCCTTTGTTGCCTTCGTGTGGGTATTTTGCTGTTTGGAAACCTCTAAATGTAAAAATGTGAAAAATACCACTCGCTTTATTTCGAGTGGTTCCTTAAATAGCTTAAATAGGTGGTGGTTACTTTACTCTTTTCGAGTGGTTTCCACCGTGGGCCATATTGAAATGACTCAAAAAGATTCATCCTTCACTCTGACAGAGCGGAAGAACTTAATTCTGAAAGAGTGGACGACAACTTGAAAAGAGAAATGTCCCTTATATGGCTATTTTGAAAGAGTGGTTTTCCAACTCTTTAGATTAAGAGAAAACTCTTCCGGAAAACTAGCAAATAAAACGCAGAAGCCAAAAACCTTGTCGCCATACAGATGTCCAGTTTACATCATTCAGAAAAATCAGCGGGTTCGGGGATTTATATTTTTGTATTAAGTCCACCTCTGCACAATCGAAGAATTAAGGGGTCCAGAGTTTGATGAGGTCCAAAATCTCGAATAGGGCAAACGTAACACCAGTCAGCTTTTTTTTTCGTGTTTTACTACTTTAATGCACATGCCACACGGCCAGACTTGTGGACCCATGTGAGAGGTCCTCTGGATTGCAGCGGGAAGACTGCAGAAGAATTACTCAAGTATTCCAGTGCATTGTAAATCCGCGTCAGTATATCGTAAGGATTTAATCTTTAATCAGACCCAAATGCAAATGATGTTGGTGACTCTAGAGAATGTCATAGCAATGGATGATAAATGATGATGAAGTCTGATAATGATGATGATCATAATGATAATTTTATGTTAAAAAAGGAATCAGCTAACTGAACTAGATTAACCACTAATAATGAGATCTACACTGTATAGGGCCTATACTACAAGCAACATGATACATAATTTCTTGCGAATCACATTCAAGCAAACCTCCAGTTTCCACTAATCGGAGCCTTTCATTCGGTTTGTTGAATGTTCCATTTCTGTAAACGATAATTTCTCAATTTAGACATGAACGAATCTGGAAAATATAGCGGTCCCTGGATAAAGGAATCAAAACAGTTGTGACATTGGGCTTATCCTAAGGAACTGAAAATGGCGATTCCCAGCTGTTTTGCCCTGTCAGCTGACGAGGCGAAAGACTGAATGTCTTTCGGTGCATAACTATAAGTGCTAAAGGCACCGCACTGAAATTACATGCATCCAGCCTGAGTTTGAGTCCGTATTGGGCCATAAACCTTTAAGAAAGGTTCCTAAATCATATAAACCACAACGGTATAATCGGTGTGTACCAGGGTAAACGCACATAATTTATACATGTAGGTATAAATGGACTATTTGGGATAGAATTTCAAAACAAAATAAGCAATCTAACTTTGCATGCCAGTCCCCAGAAGCGAAGTCATTCGACGTTGCTTGTATACTTGCGCATCCGTCACTGGGGCATGATCCCCCATTTGCCCTTGCCGGTTAGTTGTTAGGTACAACTCGCGCATGCGCATTTTGTATTGAACGCTGTAAACACAGTCGTGCGTAGATGATATACATGTACATTTACACATGCAGTCCTGAAACCTGTCTCTGATAGGTTTTATCATCAATGCAGAGCACAATTCCAAAGTCCAATCTAAACAAGTGCGCGATGCTATTTTGGCATAGCAACCTCACGACTATCAATATATCAGAGTCACCCCCAACGCTCTCAGGTTAAAGGTAATTTGTGCGATGAAATACGTGCCCAAACCAACGACACCAGTGTTGTTATTCTCACAAGGATGAACGCCATCATGAACTGACTGGTGTTCTTGAGATTGGACAATTTTGTCGGACACGTAGTACTGGCATGCTTGAATTTCACCCTCTAAGTCACGAAGAGGAACTGCATTTTACGGAGGAATTTTGGGGTGAGTCATAATCATATTATTTTCCAAAGTTCCTGTTTTACTCTCGTTTAGGCATTAATAATATTCATGGAATTGTATGAGGAAACTAAAATACATGTATAACACCAACAAATGAAAGCTTTATCGCTGTACATAAATCACTTTTATTATTCAGTTTTACATCATTTAGACTGAGAAAAAAAATCAGCCGAGAGTGGAATTATATTATTGCGAATTTCATTTCTCCCAAAGACGTGCAGGGGAAGATTTCGATTTGTTATGACATCTGGGAGGAAACAAACCATGTTCTTACACAGTATCACACGACAGTTAGCGCTGTTTTTCTTGTTATAATTTAATAACAACATGCCGTACGAATTGACTTGTAATACAGTGCGAGTCGTAATCCTTGTGATCGGGTACTACGACACATTGGTGCAAGACATTGTTGCGACAATGCAACAGTTGAATGTGTTAGTAGTTCAACATACTGGGGTTACAAAAATAAAATCGGTTTTCCTTTTGCATGCAAGGGAAACGGCACTGCTAATTGGGTGAAAACTTTGTCTGAAATACATGATTTTAGAAAAAAACTAAGCTCCCAAAGGGTGAGAAAATTTATCCAGGCGGCAAATGAAAATCTGAAATTTTATTTTTTCTGGCCTCATCCGGTTTTTCCCGGAAATATATAAAGAGTGGCTTTGACGGCAATAATGTTGCATGACTTGCAATGTTATTATAGTGCAAGAGAAATGGGCAGTATTGTTACCAACTAGTTGATAGTGAACTAATTTAAATAATGCAAGAGGGCAATAGGCCTTAATATTCTTATGTTCAATGTACATGTACCAAAAAAATCTACATGTACTGTATGGGAATATATAGCTTCGCTGCTTTCTGCATTTGCACTGTTTTGGGAATCTAAAGAACCAGATCCCGGGGATTGTGAATTTAGGGACTCCGTTTCTATAACAGAGGGGAAATTTACCTTTTAACGTTTGGATTCCCCGAGGTAGCTGACGGTGACATCATGCTCCATAACTGTTACGTTGGGGTCAATGGTGTGAAAAGAAGGCACTGGGTTTTGAATTTTGAGCGAAATTTTTGGGGGAAACTGTGAGTGTTTCAACAATAAACATGGTGGAGTCAAATTTGCATGGCTGGTTTATCAGTAAGAAAGTCGCATTTTCTCACAATTTACAATTTGAAATTTCCACAAATAGGGTCAGTTCAAACAGCATTGTCTTTGTTTTTTTTTGGGGGGGCATGACCAACTTTGCACAGATTAAAATGACAAACACTTCCCCTCGATCCCTTTCTCATTGGATTCTGCACTTGTACAACCCCAAACACAACAATTAACTGGATACCAGTTCTTTCATTTTCGACTATGACCATATTTCATTTCCAATGGTGAGCTATATGCGTACATGTACAGTACATGTATACTATACTGAACACCAGTACGCTACGAGTTTACGAATACACAGGTTGGCTCTAAGAACACTAACGATGTAATATGCTGCTTATGATGGGAGGGGGCCATACTAAGAAGCGGCGATCTCGTGCCCACTGGAAAAATCACGATTATAAAGCCTTTTTACAGAGCACTAAAAATCCTGCTTAGATTAGAAACTAATAGCAAAAACGATTTAATGGGATTTTCTGAAGAAATAACTGAGCAAAGTCAGAAAACAATCTGATTATGTTTAGCAAGGAATGTATTACTGAAATTGATTTCAAATACTTTTATTTGTTTGGCAGGTAATTACCTGTCTTTATTCTGTCTTGGAAATGAAACAATGAGTTCTAAACATTAAAAATCGAATGCCAGACAAAATAGGGACGGGGAAAAATATTGGACCCCAAATTTATAGAATGACCCAAATAGAGGATTTGCATTCTCCCTTCGCGATATGCAGATCAAGACCGAAATCGTGTTGTTGTCATTTTCACATTTTGCTCCTCCGTTGAGCGTTGCAAACAGATCTATAAAAATAGATTTCATTCATTACCAACATTATTTACAGTTCCCAAAAGCATACACGACCAACTGACCCCTCCTGACCTCCAGTTTGCGGTCTACACGCTCGTCACAAAGTGGTCGATCTTTCTAAACAATACATCTCGCTCATTCTGCATCATTCCTTGTTGCCGTTGCCATGGGCACCGTTCACGGTTACCATGATGAGAGCCTCTTTACCAGATACCATCCTCTATGCAGCCGGCGTGTAACTCCATTACACCCGGCCTTGTCTTTATAGCTCTCTCATCTTTAACGCTTCAACGGACGAGAGAGTGGGCAACGGATCACGATGTAATGCACCCAGAAAGGACGGACGAGCCAGTTTCTGCGATCACCGACTGAACCTGACGTATAACGGAACACGTTTTTGTTTGACCAGATCGAAAAGGTCACTCTTCAATGTTCGTGCCTACCTGCTCCCGGCGGAAAGCATAAAGACCAGGCCTTTGAATATAAAGGGCAGAACAAAAGTTCAATATACATGAACGGTCTTTCCCAGCTATTAAAGGGATACCTTTTATTGTGCATAATAAACATTGCATCTGTGACTTGAAAAGGAACTCGACAGCAAAATACCCACCGCTCTCGTGTTGTCGTGCAACCGTTGGAGTAGTTCTTATCACCACAAACGTCGCGCAGGAAGGGCACACGTGCGAGGCAGCCCACCTCGGTTGTAGACCGACTTGTGCATGCCGACAAGATGGCGGTCAACAGGTTCAAACTGCCCCGGTCGGTGAAGGTGGTGTTGATGGTCGCCCTACTCTGTTACCTTTCCATCGTGCTGGTCGGCATGGCGGCGAGAATGCAGAAGCCTGCCTACCCCTGGACCGTCAACGACGGTTATTTCCCCGCTGCCCTCGTGGGTCTGAAACACACGGACAGCCGCTTGACGAGCTCGGGGAACCAGACAGCGGAGCAGAAGACGGCAAAGCCTAAAACAGCGGTAGGTTGAATTTTTCTTGTGAAAATTTTCATCCGACAGACATTTTGTAGAGATTACACTCCATTGGATAGAGGGACGGACCCAGGACCAAATTTTCGGGGGGGGGGGGCAAAATTTTGGAATTTTTTTTATGTGCCCCTTTATGACTTTTCTGAGGGGTTAGGCTTCATTTTGGTTTTTAACGCATTTCTCAGGGGAAGGAAAATGAATTAAACCAATAAACTCGCCTTTGTCATTTCCAATAAACGTTTCTTACTTTTCTTCTCGTTTTTGGAAGGGGAGATAACCCCCGTTTGCCCCCTCCCCACCGAATTCACCGTTGTTTGGATGGTGATAATGCACTGGATTTGTACGTTACTCGAAAGTTATACCAAGATAGGCCTACTGCCCAAACGACCCATGCATGCCTTACTTATATCTGTGATGACTTCATGTTGTTAGTGACTTGCCGGGGCTCTGCAAAGGTACTTATCTACAAATACTGCATAAACTGTAGAAAAGGCATAGTCCGTTAACATGACAGGATTTAAATCTAAAAGCTGGTATTCTGTGGAAAGGAATCAGGCAGCGTGGCTCTGTGGTGATAAGCACCGACTGTGGAAACATTTCTGCGAACTGTTGACCGTCCCTTTTAGTACAATTCGACCAAAAAAGCCACAAAATATTTCCAGGAAATGTACTTGTTTCAAGGGGTCCACTCAATGTAAATTTTAACAATTTCAAATGCTCCTTTGTGTTGTATATAAATCAGATGTTATATTTTCGTTGTGCCTTTTGAGGCTAAAGGACAATTTTTGTTCCTTTTTATAAATACATCAATGCGAATTTGCGCATTTTTACATTATAACGATTATCAAAAGTGTGACGTCAACCAAGGCAGACAACTTACTGCTACAGCTATTTTTGCACAAAAAGTTTGCATTCATTTTGGAAAATTTACCGTCCTCAATTTTGTTAGGTGGGACTGATTTGTTGTTTCAATGCATTACATCAGGCCAGTAGGCAAGATTTTCTGACAAAATATCTTCCCTAAATACGTTTAAAGTTTACAAGATGAACAGAATCCCACGAACCGAACAGTGTCTTCCTGTCATAAAAATCACTGTCACAATAGCTCCCTCAATTGTCAAGAAAAGCTAAGAAAATGGTTTAAAAGGACGCACGTTGATGAGAGTAACGAAAATAGATGTCAGATAATTTTTTCCGAAGTTACTTGTAAGAGGAGTGGGAAACTAACTGTACCAAACACGTTCCCAATCAAAACTTTACGCCACGGCCTCTTTCTCAGGGTCCCTATCCCCACAATCTTTCTTTGGATTACAGGCGCGTCTGGCCAAGTTTTGTGTGTCCATTGCAATATAAGAGATTGCAATATGTGACCCGCTCTGTGAAAATGAGTCACATGTCTTCAGAGCCACTTTGGAGTAAAAGGCCTTTGAAAGAATAAGGCACAGTGATTAAGCAATAGGAATCCTCAACATTTTAACATCTACGCAACATCCATTTTCGTTGTACAAAACTGAGTGACACATCAAAGAGCTTAAATTCGTCAATCCAATACAAAGTAAAATTCGAAAGTAGCTCTGGAAATTTGTGACCCTTCAAAGTTTTGCTGAGCAGGTCACGTATATCATGACCAGGCTTAATGACAAAATCCAGCTCTGAAGACACTTTGTGACGTAATAGCCGAGTGGACAATATTGTCAAAGTGAAAGCAATTCAATACTTTTACCGTCTATTTTCAGCGTGCGCGTTTTCATGTATTTCAGGTTCTTATTCTGCCGTCCTGGTCGTGCAGGGATGATTGCCGCCCCGGTTTTGCTGTTGAAGGCGCACTGAGGTCTTGGGTCGGGAGCCAGGGCAACATGGAAATGTTCCTCAAAAATGACAGTCAAAATTGATTTCATTTGCTGAGAAATTACAACAAGAAACGCGTCTGGGAGATAACATTCTCCCCTTCTTCACCCACCCTTCTCTGACGGCATAAGTGGGGGGGGGGCTTGGGAGACCACGCCCCTCCCCTTTGTTTTTGTTTTTTTGCAGTTAAGAAAACTCAGAGAAAATACTCTTTTGCCTTGAACTGGGAATACGATTTTCAGCGGGATTTTTGTAAATTGTTTCCTTGACTGCTCCTCTTTTTACGACTGGTGACCCTAACCCTCAAATGCCTCTAAACGTCTTATTGAGAGAAGGGGGGGCCTCCTGTGGACATGGGTAAGTCCACAGAGAGGTCTTCCCTTCCTGCATTCTGTTCACACTAGGCATGTAAGGTCAGCGAACACTTGTTTGACTTGGGGACAATGGCCCCCCCTTATGGCAGGTCTGATAATAGCTGATACATGACGATCTCACAAATGCCCCCCCCCTGAAAATTGTTCTACCGCATTGTTGCAACCCACGGTAAAAGTAATTATGCCATCGATCTGAAATTCTCCAGTTCGTCACGTTCTGCCACGAGTCTGCCGATTCGTCAGGTCGGCGTAACAAAGAGACATTTTTATTTATTTCATTTTTTATTTATGTGGGGGCTAATTATTCAAGCGGCCACGAGGCTGAATGCCGACGGATGTAGCTGCAAAGCGATCGAGCCAAAGGCATGTGAAGGCGCCTTTAAACAGGCAGCCGCCAGACGACCGACTGTCTTCCACTGAGCGAATGATTAGAGATCACAATACATTTATATGCAAATGTATTGTGGTCGAGTGGTTAAGACATCTGCACTAGTAAGCAGGAGGTCGTGGGTTTGAGTCCCACCCGAGTAAGCTTGTGAGGTTTTTTTCACGAGCTCTCGGCCAAGCACTGAGCATACAGTGCTTATTAATATACGTTGGGAAAGAGCAAAAACCTAAAATCTCCCCAACGCAAAATACATCTTGAAAAAAAGAAAAAAAACAATACATTTATAATGTTGATAATATTAGCGTTTGGTTTGAAGTACATTAACTGTTCATTCATACATGCTCTTTTGTTTTTAGATTGACACAGTTTGAAGCAAAATGCCGTTCATTTTTGTGTTTTTTGTAACGGTAGGACCAAAAGGAGGAAGTATGGTTTATTATAGTAACTACAAATGATTACAATAGAAAAATAAGTTACAATATCCACAAAGGTTGAACTGTATTTGTGAAGAAAAACAAAAGCTTTTGGTTGTTATCATAAGGGATAAAATTATCATAACTAAAAATTCTATCTCTTGAAATGAAGTGATGGAAATGGAAAGTTTTTTATTATTCCCATATTAAATATAATAATACTGATCTTACAAGGATAATTTCATGGAAGGAATTTTGGGTCACAATTTACACCATAAATGTGACGACAGGCAGAACTTCAAATTTGCAAATTTGGAAACTTGCTCTAAGTATAGACTTGATAAAAACAGTGGAGGTCAGACAGAATTGAAACAACGCATTCATACTAAAAAGCAGGCACTCTTTTTTTTCATCTCTAATCGAGCCAGCCGTGTCCCAAGACGATAGCCTCCCTCACCAAATACTCCAAGTGGTTCCGGGAGAGGTACCAGCCCGGCATCAAGCTCTTCTTGGACAGGGACGACACCAAACACTACGACAACCTCTCGGCCAGCGGACCCCCCTTCGGCTTCAAAAGACAGAACCTGACAGGTACATCATCCATAGGGTTGAAGGCCAGCAAAGTTTCAAAATTGCCTGCGCGGACCAAATCATGATTTGCATGCTGTCAAATTCTCTGCTGTTAGAGCATTTCGTGGCACGTGGACGGGATGGTTTGTTTACAGAAGGATGAAAGCTACCAGCAACATTGCAAGCTTGCATTTCTGAAATATTAGACCAGACAGTTTCAAGTGTAAGCATCAGTTTTCAAACTGGCAGAGGGCTTCACGACCGCATTTAGGGTTGAGCAGCTGTGACAAGAAAAATCGTCAAAAATTATCTGTTAGGGCACCAAAAGTTGAAAGGAATATGAAAGATGAGGACCTGAAGTCTGATTTGATGTGTGTCTTGAACACCTAAAAAAGCGGGTTTTTTTTCGTTTTCTCTGTTGTTTTTGTGCTGTCACTTTTGCGTACAGCATCTTAGTTACTGGTCTTCAACCAAATTGGAAACACGCAGTCAGTTTATCCTGTGTGCGCTCTGCAGACATTACGGGTCTGAAATTAACGAGTTAGATCCGTGTTGTCGAGTGGTTCGGGGATAATTATATTCAGCAGCGGCGACAGTTTCTCCAGTTACAACTCTTTTTCCGGTTTGTTTTCCTTTGTCTCGTTGGTTGTTCTTGTCTGGACTTTTGTTCATTATTCTCTTCATTTAAGCCATAAGTTTAATTCAAGACCTTATAGCTTTGGAGTATCGTCGTTTGATATACAGTTAAGCTTATTGTCGGTTATGCTTATGAGAGAGTAATTTTTATGTCATGCGTCTATCGTAGTTAACATTTTGATGAAATTCTGTTTTCTCTCCCTTATTTCTCAATTTTAGTTCTGAGCCAAATCTTGCAGCACAAAGACTTTGCCAATCCGCCGGTTCACGGACTGGCCGGTAGGCAGAGCTGCATTCGATGCGCTGTGGTGGGCTGTGGGGGCATCCTGAACGGCTCGGGGGCTGGCAAAGAAATTGACGGCCACGATTACGTCTTCAGGTACGGTACACCCATCCTGCTCTCTCAGGATTAGAGGTTTAATTAATCCCTTTACTCAGCGTGTCTCAAATTGTGAGCAGTACACATGGCGGAACTGGGGTGAAATGTCTGAAGGATCACCCTCGTGGCACAAACTTTCTTCCCAAGGTGGCACTGAAAACAAAGTAACTTCTACGCAGGCTATTTAGGGCGTACATTTAGACATTTCAAATGGAAGAGGGGGCACACTATGGGTACAGCCCCCCCCCACAGTTTCTTTTGAAAAAGGAGATTGCTTGGCCCCAGAAGTGGTTAGATTGTGTAACTATTTGCCAGGATCAACTCCCTGGCTCTTTGGACTTCCATCAGAGGGCAGGATAGATTTTTAAAGAATACAATTGAAATGATCCCAAGTGCCTGAGTAAGTGGAGGATGTCATTTGAAAAATGGCTGCACGCAGACTTCAGAACTACCAATATTCGGGGGTGATTTGGTTTTGTGTGAATAATCATAAATGCAGTTGGTTAACCCACGGAAAAATTGGAAAGAAATGGAAAGATTAAGGACAAAACAATAATTTTCGTTTGAGAACCCCCAGAGGTGTTAACCTCCGTGTTAGTGAACCCTGGGCGAGGTTGATTTTACGCAGTTTTCGATGGGGCTTGAATTCGTGGACTGCACCCGTGTGTTCTGAGCGCACGCGTGGGCACGGAAGCATTCATCCGTGTTCAACACTGTCCAATGAGTGCTTGAAGGAATTACGTCATCTTACAAAGAATGCTCTTCCCGGCGCAGTGTATCAGCGGATAGAAACAAGCCAATGTTATATTACTGACGATGTTGACGCGGGACGCCTCGTTTTCTTCCGTGCTTTTGCAGACTGAACAGGGCATTGTCATCAGGGCGGTTCGCAAACGACGTTGGAAAACGGACCACGTTCTACACGTTTTTCCCAGAGTCGCAGCACCTTAATGATGTGGAAGACGAGGTGAGGTGACATTAAGATTGGGGGGGCGGGGCGGGGCGGGGTAAGGGGGTGAGAAGAACGACTGGTAAAAGCGAAGATTTTGTCCGATACTGGAGAATGGGTGCTTCCTTAAAATTACGCTTTTAGGTTTGTTTGCCATGGTGGTGTTCACACTCTGAAAATTTCCCGGGACAGATTGACCTAGATCCGGGTCCCGTGGTGACTTACCCTTTTCCAGGTCAAAGAACTTGGACTCCTTCTCATGGGTCATCGACATTTTTGACCCGGAAAAAGGTCAGAATGACCCAGAAGCATGTCATTCTTTGGCCCAGACAAGGGCAATCCGGAGGGGACCCAGATCTGGGTTAATCAGCCTCGGGAGTTTGTAGGCCGACTTCTTGTAACTTTTCTAAAAGGAAACGGTCCATGCACTTTGGCGTCTGCCGAGGACGTTCGGTTCTCTGTCACGTGGTATCTTCTCTTGCTCTTACTCATTTTCCAAAATGAGAACAGCTTGACCACTGAGGATCCACTGTCGTCGAAGGTCACTCCTTTGCGGTGCACAGTTATCCTTTAATACGATAAGCACGCGCGTACCCATCCACTTGTCTATGAGCACACATTGCATTACTAGAAAGGACATTCCTTTCAGAAAAAAAGAGGGAAAAAAGGGGGGAAAAGAAAAAATCTCACTGAATATACACTTTTTTGGACTGTAAACACTATTTTAAGTTACACTTTTGTTAATAACTTCCTTGACCGTAACCCTGACTCTGTTTTGCTACAAACCCAACAATGTCTCAAAACTGCCTTCAGAAAGGGGTCATGATTCGCGATGCTTAAACATCTTGTGATGTCCACACTAGGAATAGCGTGCTTTTAAAACACATCCAAGTACTGTCCAATGTCCTCGTTTCTTCTGCTGTTGGCCCAATAACTTTTTGTCAACTTCTGTGGTGTGAATTATAAACAATCTTCAACCGTGAACAGGTTGACAAACGAGGACTTAATGTCCTCAAGTGATTTGTTGAATGTGTCCTACGTGTGCTTAACACACACTTGCAAAATCAAGAGTATTTCCTACATGGAGTGTCTTTGCTCCTTTCACACAAACTTCAAACCAAGGAAGTTTTTTTCCCCATTCCATGCCTAATCCAGCCGTTAAATGAAATGACCCGGTAAATGTGAACAAGTTGTGTGTTTTTTTTAGAGAATAAACTCATTTGAAACTCACAAAAAATGAGGAAAGCTTAAAAATGGTTGAACTGTGATATGCAGTTTCTCGTCAGCTGGCTTTTTTGTTCGATCGTAAAAATAAACGACATCTGGATGAGGAAATTGGGGTTTTCTCCTTTTTTGAGCGTGAAATTACACATTTAACGAGTACAATATGTCCTACTTAATCCAAGTGTGAGCTATTGATTGACAGGATGCAGCTGCCGCGTCACATTTCATTTTTTTTAATTTGCTGCGAATTTGAGGTCTGTTTATCGATTAACTGTGCATGCATTTGAGCCGTTGACTTTAGCGTTGCGAAGTGTTGCCGGATGGCTTTTTTGTATAAAATTGCCACTTTAATAGTGTTTCTCCGTGCATGTTACCTGACTTTGTGCCTGAAAGGGAAATGGTGTTACGCAAAATGGACAGGAGCAGTTAGGAGCCCAGTTCCCAGCCATGCCGAATTGGATTAATTGGCATTTTAGCAACAGCGTCTCGTCAATTCACTTTGTCACGCTACCAGTAGACTGGCGGACACAGTTCTGTTTGTTATTGTTGTCGTTTTCGTGGTCGTCGTGTGGTCGTCGCCCCCCCCCCATGATCGAAATTTGTACACTGGTGAATAACACCTTATAAATAGCCTATATCCTCTCAAAATTATATGGCCATGGTGCAGTGGACACATTGATTCCAATGGCCAGGGATATCAATTTGGAAAAAGGCTAACGGGCAGTTTTTAATTTTTTTTGCCGAGAGTGAACGTGCATAATCATAGATGAAGCCTTGCTTAGCATGAAGGTAGATGCGGTTACAGTCTGTACATCTACCAAGCTTATTTATATCTGACAACCATTATGGTCAGTATTAAACTATCCCCCACGCAACCCTATTTCGTACGAGCAATCGGCGGAAAATATCCGTGATATTTTACAGGTAGACGTAGCGCCATCGTACACTACATTATACATCTCTGTGTATATACCCCGCCTACACACTTGTGTCAAAAACTATGACATCCCCATGAGAATATACCCAGCAAGAAATGAGACCCAGGGGTACCCCCCC